ATACTAATAATTAAAATCTTAAGTTAAGAGGTAAGATAAATTACATTGATAGTCCTTCCACTTTGTCCCTTGTGTTCTCACACTTTTAATTGACTCAATTTTAATATTTAATTTTAAATTTGGATCAATTTAATTCAATTGATAATTAAACTTATAAAAATCAAAATGATACAAGAACTAATATAAAAACTATTTGTCGTAAAAAGTAATTTAAAAAAAAACATTGTTTTAAAAAAATACATTGGGGGTGTTAGGGAAGTTTGGTTTTTTTTTTTTTTTTTTTTCACTAAAAGACAAATTGGTTACAAAATAAAAAAAAAAAAATCAATCCAAACAAAATATTACATCAAATCCCATAATCATTTCACTTTTTATCTCACAAACATCACATACAACAACAAAAAAATCTAATTATCTTCTCAAACACAAAAAAAAATTTCTCCAATAATATCCTACAATTAAAAAAGTTTACAAAAAAATTTATTTCCCAAACAGCCACAATGTGTGATTAATTTTGGGATGGTGGCGCAGGATGTACTAGGAAGTGTACGAAGTACTGTGAAGAGAAACCAAAAAGAGGAGGTGTGAAAGAGTGTGCACAGAGTGCTGTCGCAAGTTCAAATGTGTCCCTCTCAAAGAAAATCTCTGCAAAGCCCCCAGCTGGGACCATGTCATGTACCATGATAAACTTGTCAAGTGTCCTTAAAAATCCCACCACACAAACAAAAATCCAGGGCTATTATTGTTCTCATGTGTTGCTTTTAATTCATCTGTGTTCCTTCATTCAGAGTTTGTTTTAGTTTAGTAATCATGTACTAATAAAACCGCCCCTCTGTATGTAGGACGGGAAGAAAATAAACTTCTTTCAGAACCTCTACTGTAACGAGCTTATTAGTTACTGTTTAATATCAGTGAAATTTTTATTTATTGTTTAGCTTCTTTACTATGAATTGATATCTATTTTTGCTGAACTTCCTATTACGGGAAGGGTGATGATTGAGACGCCCTCCAATCACTACCCCCACCACCCCACACACATGTGGCGGGGGGGGATTGGAAGAGAAGGAAAAAAAAGAAAAAGAAAAAGAAAAAGAAAAAAAAAGAAAAAGAAAAAGAAAAAGTGATCAATCATAGGAAGAGGGGGTCAAGGAGTGAGAAAAAAAAAGGATCCAAGTCATTATTGTTACTGAAATGATGACATGTAATCCTACTTCTGTTTTCTAATAAAATGATTCAAATGAAGACCAAAAAAGGAAGAAGAGAATTTAAATTGAAAGAAGAAAAAAAAAATGTGTATGATGAGACAGATCAAACATTGATCTGTCTAGTAGGTCAATAAAACCAAGGTAAAATAGCATATATAATGCCTATCAAATGTGACAGTGAGAAGTAAGCTGAAGGTTCAAAATAACAGTGTCTAAGCACAAATTTGATAACGAATATGATTTACAAATAAAATTTTATATAAACTTTTTTTTTATCTACAATGTGACAATAGTATTTCAAAAATTGTGAGTGAGGGTGTTTCAATTTAACAAAAAAATAAAAAAATCCACTAACAACTATATTATTTTATACAAATATTTTATTTGTATATCATAACTCATTCGGTAATAATCCAATATGGAGAATTGGTATTAATTTGGGGTGATGGCTATGGTCTAATAATTTCAAGGCACATAATTTAGAGACATTATCTAATAGTTAGAAATACATTAAAATAAAAAAAAAATATTTTGAAATAGAGAATCTCGTACCGTTAAAAGGTATCCTATGAAAGTAATGTTTGATATGTTATTGATTAGAAAAAATTTAAAAATATAAAAATTGATCAGAAAATTAGACATAACTTTTCAAATAAGGTGGATCTTACCTTTTTTTTTTTTTGGTTGTGATCTCACACCTAAGTGAAAGAGTTATGTCCAACTTTATGGTTTTTTTAGTGTCACTACTAAAAAAATCACTTTTTGCGACCGTTATAAACCGTCGCAAATAATAAAAAACAGTTGTAAAAAATCTTTTGCGACGGCAAATGGGTCGCGAATGTGGGGGTGGCAAATACTTTTTGCGACGGCAAAGCAACAGTCGCAAAGTATTCGCGACTGCCAAAACTACTTATAGCGACTGTTATTTTGCCGTCGCAAAAAACACAGAAAAACACTAACATGATTCTTGACGACCATCTTGTTACCGTCGCCAAAAAAAAAAAAAAAAAAAAAAAAAGAAACGTTTTGTCACGACAGAGCCTATGGATAAAGTTGATGACGCACTTCAATTTACAGAAAAAATTGACAAGCAAAAATTTTATTTTTTTGTACTCTTAAGCACTCATTTTTCATGACGAGATAACGGCTACACACATTTTTTTTCTTTCTCAAATATTTGAAACCACTAAAATCAATCAGGTTCTTTATTTATATATACATATATATGGAAGCTAAAGACAAAATCCACCATTCTTTCTTCAAATTTAAAACCCGAAAAATAATTTTTCCAATGGAAAACAAACAGGTCCTATATCATGATGACCCATGTGATTTCTCTCTCTACAAAAGTGGAAACCCATTTTTTTTTTCTTTAAATTGGAAAACCGTGAACTGGGCCGTTATATGTATATATATATGCAGAATATTTGAGAGGATATGCCATCACATCCCTTTTTTTATTCTATTTAAAGAAAGGGATAACAACCCTAATCAATACCTCTCACCTTTTTGACATAGCCATGTCGGCTGAACAGCCTCAAAACTTTTCTGATCCTCTCCATCAAGCTCTGGCATAACCATTTCTACTACTACATCTGGGTCTTCTTCGTTACCCTCCTCCTTTCTCTACACTGGGACAAGACCCAAGCTTGCTTTGGACTCCATTTGAAGACTACTGCCGCCGCTTCTCTAAATCAAGAAAGCAGACACCACGAATTTTTTTATTTTGTGTACAGGAGATCAAAATTCAAGGACCCATTTCGGCACCCAGCTTTCTTCTTCAGCGTTCCTCAGCTAACAAAACAAATCGTGGCCAGCTTGCTTTGCAACTACTAAATTAGATTCTTCAATAAGACACACCGATGCCGACTCCTCTGCAACGTCATCATTTTCCAACCTCGCCAAAATAGTGCCGTCGTTGGTTCGGCTCATAAAAAGTTTTGTCGGGGCCGTGCCATGCTTCCACAGTGCTTACTCTACCCATTTCTTTTATTTCTTCTACACTGCTTCAGATCTGTGGTCTAAATAATTTAGTGGGCTCAAATTAGCCCCTCTTACATTTGCCCCTTGAGTAAGATGATTATAGAGAGAAGTGAGAGTGAGAGGAAGAGGGAGATAGAGTGAGAGTGAGAGTGAGATGGAGAGGGTTGGATCATTCTGGATATTCATCTCATCCGTTGGAAATCATTTACGTGGACGGTGGTGATTTATCTCGGGAAGGCAAAAGAGCCGTTGTGCTCTTTTGGCCTAAAAAATAAATAAATAAATAAAAATCAACTATAAATTAACGGTCATATTTTAAAATAATATAAATATAAAT